ATTTTCCTTTCTCCATTTTATACTCTGATCCTTCTTCATAAATGAACTGTTAATAACTTGAGGCTTTATTTCTGGGCTCTCAATTTTATTCCATTAGTTGAGTGTCTTTGATTCCAACCAACTGCTTTTGTGACTATAGTTTGTAGTAGTAGAGTTTAAAGTTGGGGAATGTGGTGCATTTTATCTTCTTTTATTCTCTTACTGCTTTGCAAGTGCAAATTTTGTAGTTCCATATAAATTTGAGTATGTTTGTTCTATTTCTTTGCTAAATTCCACTAAACATTTAAAAAATCAAATAACAGTTTTAATATTAGCCTTGGAGATAGGCAGAAAAAGAAGGAAAGTTATTTATATTAAAGAAAGACATACATATGGCGCGCATTTGCTGCCCGAGCCCATGTGCTGCTTGTGCCCACGTGGCCGAGCACATGTGTCGCCCGCATCTCTCCTCTTGAGATGTGTACTTTCATGCTTTCGTGTCTAACTTTACTCTCTCTCTCTCTCTCCCCCTCCACACCTAAAAATCCTCCAAATAAAATCTATTTACTTCACACACAAAAAAAAGACATACATAAATTTCTTAATAGTGTACAAGTATTCCAGAATTGAAATCCTAAATGATGGTCTCGCAAACACTTCAGAGAAGCCTAACAGTGAGTCATTGGAATTTTGATGAAGATTTGTTTTAATATTTATCTAAGCACAAGAACCAGAACTGGCTGTTTCTGTTACAAGAATAAAGATAGGGAGCGTGGTAATACGTTTGGGAAAAACTGTGTCTGAAGCCAGAACCAATATGAAGGCACGGAAGCCTTTGACACACAAGATAAGTCTCAGGAACGCACAAAGCTACTGCAATGCAGAATTCTAGGCCAAGACCCTGATGGATTTCAGAAAGGATAGGCAACTGTAGCCCCTGGAAGGAAAGTCTCCACCACTGGAGCAAAGAATGTCAAAGAAGACCTTTCAATGCTCCAAACTCCCCCCTAGAAACTATCCTAGCAATGGACTTGGACTTGACAGTTATAAACAGGAAAAACTGTTTATAAACTAACTCAGACCAAGACATGGGCATGATGACCCATGTTCTCTCTTGAGCACGTATCTCTCTCCTTACCTCCCTTTATTAACCAATAAACTTGTTATAATTCACTATTGGTCTCCTGAAATTCTTATCTGTGAGGGAAAGGCAACAAACACCAAATCCATAGATAATATTAGTGATGTAGGAAGGTAGATCAGAATGGACCCCCATGGCAATGGAATTCCTTGGGTAGTAATAAAACCAATATCCCCAAGACTGAAAAAAATACCACCTCACACACAGATCCAGAGAAGGTTGGATCACAAGAAAAGGAATCTCAAAGAAGACCATCCACCACTCCAGCCCCTTGGCAGACCATCCACCAACTCCAGCCCCTTGGCAGCCACCCTAGCAACTTAGGTAGAAAACACCGTATTGGGCAACATAGAGAATCCATATAAAAGCCAACTTGAATAAAGGAAGTGCTCCAATATGCTGCCAGAACCTGAGGCCATGTGCTGTTTGTATACACGTGGCCAAACACAGGAGTAGGAGGCTCAATATAACTGGTGTTTGAGAAAAGGGGGAATTTTGGACACAGGCACAATCACAGAAAACATGAAAGCAGAGACCACAGTGCCTTCATGGCTCAATTTGCAAGAAAGGTCCAGAACATCCCTACATGCAAGAGAAGAGGGCTGAGAGAAAAACTCCGCCCTACCCCTGGGCAGGAACAGTCTGATGCCATCCTGGGTTTAGACGTAATACTTTCAGAACAGGGGACAAATAGATCTCAGTAGTTTAAGGCACCCAGTCTATGTTACTCAATCATATCATCCCAAGATATGAAAATATTTTGTGACTCTAGACATGACCATCATTGGGACCCACTTTCTTTTTGAAAGGAAAGGGATGGGAGAGAGAGATCATCTCCATGGAATGTTTAGTTCTACAGTTAATGGCTTTTAAATGCCAGAATATAGAGATTAACATTTTTTCCTTCCTTCCTTCCTTCCTTCCTTCCTTCCTTCCTTCCTTCCTTCTTTTTTTATTTTGGTGGGGGAGAGCTGAGTGTCACACCTGGCTCTGAACTCAGGGATCACTCCTGGCAGTCTTCGGGGGATCATATGAGGTGCCAGTATTGAATCCAGGTCAGAGGCACACAGGGAAGTGCCCTACCAGTCGTATATTGCTCCAGCCCCCATCACTTTCCTTGGTTTGGAGCACATTGGTCATTGGATTGCATTTGGTCTCTTCGTGGAATCAGTTAATCTAGGTCTGTTTGTTGAGATCTACATTTGTTGCAGATTAAGGGTCGAGTTGAAGAATTTCAAGGGAAGTTCCACTCTGTAAATCCAAGTTACAGAGTGAATGAGTGGAGAAAGCAGGGGATGTTCGGCAAGTTCAGAGAAGAATCCACATTGCAAAGTTGGGGATGAAGAAAGTTTCCTGTAAGGGCACCTGACCTGAATCTGAATATGACCATGTGGTTGCTTAATCTGGACTTCTCTGTCTCCTTGGCAGTGAAAAATCCATTTTTTCGTGGGCCTCCTAGGCTGGAAGTACCAAGGATTCTGGGGAGACATTCCCGTGATTCTCAACACTGTCAGGCCTGATGATTCAATCAATGCTTAGTTTAATGCAAAGTTCCTTGGATCCAGAGGTGAAGGCGATCTCCGGGGCAACCTGGTGGTGTTTGAGGGACCATCAGAGTTGTACCTGGCAATGGCATGACCATGCAGAGCTGCACATTGACCTCAAGTCCTTGTGTGCCAGGCATATGGTCTAGCCCTTCGAGTTATTTCCCTGGCCCCAATTTATATTATTTTCAAGCCCCCCAGATTGAGGTAATTTGTTGAATTAGCCATAGGAATTAAGCAAGGAAGCCTTAGTTACATGCATAGTTCTTTCTTAAGGAGCAGCCTTTTTCCTTACTCCTCTTCCCCAAGATTGCATATTAGAATTACCTGTGGAGAATTCTAGATCATGGATGCCCAAGGCTCTAGCCTGGCCAATTAAAACACAAATCTGGGGATCTGAACTAATAGCTCAGGGACTTAGGGGCCTGCCTTGCAAAGTAAGGTTGTGAGTTCAGTCCCCAATATCCTCCATATGCTAAGCATGATTTCTGGTGTCATGAGCTCTGCACTGTAGCCAGCGGTATGTAAGCACTGCCACAAAGAGGGATGGGGGGATGGAGGGACAGTGAGTGCCGGAACTAAAAGATGTGTGAACACCAGAACTTCAGGCATATCCCCCAGAGGTGACACATCACCAATGTGTGTGTGTGAGTAACTCAGTGACCTCCCCAGTGAGTGTAACTATCCAAATATGCATGAGTCCCCCCCACCACTAAAGTCCATGCTCCTCAGCTGAGTGTGTGAGTGCCACCAGTTGATGTGTGATCCCTGGGGAGCACCATAGCATATGTGCAACTTCTGGTCATAGCAACAACAGCAAAGGGAAAATTGGGAATCTGGGAGTGAGGATGGGGTTCAAGAATCAGTAGTTTTTTCATTCAATTTTTGGGCCATACCCAGTGATGTTTGCTTGAGGCTACTCATAGCTTAGAGGTCACTCCTAGGAGTGCTTGGAAGACTATGTAGTGCTAGAGATCAAAACACAGTCACTCATTTGAAAGGCAAGTGCTTTAACACTTAATCTCTCAAGCCCTTAAATATCTATTTTCAGGAGTGGCCTCAGGCACCTTCTGGTGAGATAGCCCCTCACCCACAAGAGAAATGAAAAATATTTCCCAGGTGCTTTTCATTTTGCAGCCAGAGTTAAAAACCACTTCTCTGTAAAACACTGACCTGCATGTATTTATAATTGTCTCCAGCTAGTCCCAAAGTAACACCCCGACCATTCTAACCAACTCGCTTTAAAGGCATCCCCATTTGCTCTGCAGCTGCACTGTTTGCTCATCTGCTACTGTTCTTGTAAAGAAATAGAGGAATTGGAGTGTTCTTAGACATCAGCCCTCTTACAGACTCACAGACCAGTTCGCTGTGGTTAAAAGTTCATGGGCCATGTCTGATTCTTATCTGTGACCAAAACACCCTCATCATACACAGTGCTCAGCATGGGGGAAGAAACACCTGGGGTGTTCAAGGTTTGCTCCTGGCTCTATGCCCAGGGATCACTTCTGGTGGGCTTGGGGGTCCCTATGAGGGGCTGGGGATAGAACCCGTGTTGACCCCATGCAAACTAAGTGCCCTGTCTGCTGCACTATTGCTCTGACCCCACACATGTTTTTTTCAAAGAAGACTTTCTAGATATTTTTTTTGCTGTTTGTTGTATGGGCCAAACCAAGAAGTCTCGGATATTACTTCTGGCTCTGTGCTCCAGGATCAGTCCTGGCAGTGCTCAGGGGATCATATGGAATGAATGTCAGAGATGGAACCTGGGTCTGCCGCATGCAGGGCAAGCATCCTACCTGCTGTACTATCTCTCCAGCTCTGACTTTTAAGATTTTTACCAAGCAGTTGAATCACTTGCTTGTGCTATTTAGAGTACTTTCTGGAAAGAAAACTACCATCTGTCTGAGCAACAAGAGAGCCCATGGAAGATGGAGAGTCAGCCAGGGCATCATAGTTTCACTGTGACTTCAGATTCTTCATGCATCCAGTGAATCGATGGGACCATCTGATTACACTGTTACTGTCAGTCAATGATTCACTTTCCTAGGGCACCCAATTATGCTGGAGATGCCCAATCCCTATCAACTGAATTAAACTCTTCAGATGCCTAAGAGGCTTTGTTGCCTATCACCATGTCTTTTTCCACACCATTGAGCTAGGCAAACAATTGCTCAGGAAAAGAGACATGTTTCAAGCAAGTAGACTCTTTGGACAGTTTGAAACTTGCACTATGCTGGTGGCCAAGTGGCTGTTTGCATTGTGGGGTGTGATAAGAAAAAAGAGAGGGTAAAATTCGCACACATCAGAACCAATTAGGAAATAATTGGGCTTACAAGTCTAATCTAATCATGCTTTTGTTTATTCACCTCATATAAAAGTTTCTTAAGAATGCATTTGAGCACAATATAATAGTCATACTATAACATATCTTATGATAAACTTTTGAAAACAATAGAATTTCCACCTGAAATAATGCAGTGTTCATAGACAGACAACCCATTGGTCATGCACGTAGGTGCCATTTCTTTAATGACTGAGTCACAATGCAGAACTGAAAGCATGAAACAATATTTTACAAACTGAGCCTGGAGTCAGTAAGAGGCCTAAGAAGTGTTATCAGAAGCTTCACATTTGCATGATTTATGACATCCATTCACATTGTATTATAAAATTCACATTGCTTTATTGTTTTCTTTCATAATTAATTGGAACATGGCAGCCCTGCTGAAGGCCAGGCAGGAGGCTTTGCTCTTCAAAGTCAGTAGTCTGGGAACACTCAGAGAAAACTGGCTGTGAACAAATGTAGTGTTGCTTTTGAAACCCCAAGTAGGGAGAACCCAGTTAGAACCCAACTTACACGTACACAGATTTGGATAGAACAAGGGTAAAAACCCCATCCCGTTGCCCCCTAACCCTATCAAACTCTACAAAAGTAAAAGCTCAGTATAAACCACTTAGTATCTAATATGAGAATCCTGTTTCCAAAACCAGTTTGCAAAGGTTCATAAAGGGAGCAGTATTAGTGACTCAGATTGGGGAAAAGGGAAGAGGGAAGAAAAGACCCCCAATATCCACACAGGTGGGCGAGTCTCATGTCTTTCTTAAGTAACTTTCAGGTTATAGACCACACAATACAAAAAAAAAATAACAAGAACAAAATATTACAAGAGAAGTCGCAACTCTTAGGCAGAGTTTTCTACACAAATGTAACACCACCATTGGCAGGCAATGTTAGATATATAAATTAATAACTTACAAAACATTACATTATATACACTGGGTAATAAATACATGGTTATAAACAGAAACTGAGGTGTTAGCGTGGAAGGCAGTGCAAGAGAAAAACGGCAGCATTAAGTTGAAAATAGCATGATCGAGCATGAAAAGAGTTCAGGTTCCAGTACAGCGGACCTACGACACCCCATTATTGAAGGAGTTTAGGACAATGTCTCATAAAGCAGGATTTTACACATTATTACTTGAACATGACTCTCCCTGCTAATGTTCACTTGAATTCTGTTTATAGCCAGAAAGTGAATGTCTAAGGGAGAACACTGTATAAAGCAGGCAAACAGTTCACACTGAACTTGGATGGGACAACAGAGAAAGGACTATATGGTTACAACTATCTCCTTCCTGCCTGCAGATGGAACCATAGCAAAGTGAACGGTATTGCCCGATAAAGAACAAAGACCATTTTCTTTCTGTTTTTATCCCCCCCCAGAAAGAGTCAAAAAAGTTTTGTCAATGCTGAACACTATGTAGAAGTGGATACTAAACTCTAGGTATTCAACAGGCATTTTAAAGACGTGAAAATGTTTTACAAAAAAGGCACACAGGTTGGCAGACGAGGGGACAAGGTGAGCAGATTTAAAAATGAAGTTATTAGTTCAGTCACTAGCAGAGACAGAGTCTCAAAACTTAGTGCCAAAAAAAAAAAATCCCTCAGTGTCCTGTCTTCTTTTTTTAAAAAATCTTTGAGTCGCGTTCCATCGCTGGCTTCTAGTACCAAAGGAAGCCTCAGCTCACCACTGAAGTGGCCAGTGGGCCATTCAACAGTGGAACTTCCTGAGCTGCTCTTTGCTTCTGGTCTTGCATTCTGGCTCCAAACTCAAGTCACTGGAAAGGCCACTGGGCCCTTGTCCTGTGCAGGCCTCAGCCCCCAGGGCAGTTGGCCCACCCATTCAGCTGGCATGCTTATCAAGGCTGGAATGTTCATCTCCACCCAGAGAAGGGGATTAGGTGTCAGTTGGGGACTTGTCCTCAGTTGTGCCATCTCCATCCGTCTCTCCGAGTGAATCCTGGTGTTCTGGCTCGATCACACACAGCGTCTTTGTGCTGCTTAAATAGCTGTGGCCCTCACCCTCTTTCTCTGGTCCTTCGGAATCCTCTTCTTCGAGCGTCAGTTCGAATTGGAACTTCTCCATCAGACCCTGGCAGTCTCTGTTCTGCTCGTCCAGTGGTGGGGAGGGGCTCTGGGGTATCATGCTCTGATACCAGTTCCTGTTATCTTCTAATGTATCCAAAATGTCCTGGGCATCAGGCTGTACCAGATCTGCCCAGGTCTCCCACAGTGGATGGACAATGTAGTCAATAAAACCAACCTGGAAAGAAACAAGATAATATTTCTGTGAAGACCCTTGGAAACACAACACACAATCCCAGTTTCCATGAAAGAAAGACCAACAACCCAAGAAATGAATAATAATAACAATAAAGGATTCTACTCTTTGAATACTTCCTATATGCTCCTTCCTGCTCTGATTGCAGAGAAGTCTAGGAACTTCTTATAGGAAGTTTGTAAACTACACGTTACTTCTCTTAATCACACAATGTAAGTCTGGGGAGCTGCCTTTATGAAGGAGGAAACAAAGATTTGTTGAGATGAAAGTCAGAAACACAGTTAAATGGGGGAACCAGGGCCCAGAGCCAGATCATTCCAAAGTCTGCCTTCGTCTTGCAACAACTGACAACTTTTCCTTTCATGTGTGCCAGTTAGAAGTCTAGATGGAACCATCGCTGGCTGGGAATGGCTCCATCGCTCCTAGGATTCTGTGAGTCACTCTTCTGAAGAAGGAAACCCCAGATCTAACGTTCTGACTCAACATTCTTTCCCTGATAACTTGAGACAATGCCACTGTTCCAAAACGAAGAGGAGTCAGCTCCTGAATCCTCTAAAATTTCCCAAGTTCTGTGGGATGCTTTTGATTTATAGAAGAGAGTTTGTGGTTAAACACTTGAACATATATCACGTCCCTAAACCAACAAAGAACCCCTCTGTGGACACGTCTACAATTGTTTTAGATACACAGGGCACACAGCCATTTCCATCAGGAGAAAGAAGGGAAAATAAAAACAATTAAGCAGTTCCCTTTACTAGTGTTCCTGTGAAAAAAATATGAGGCTCATGGCTCTGTTATGGTTTACACAGTGGCTACGCATCCTGCATGAGCTGGTTCAATGGCCTCACGCTGACCTCGCCATTGTCGGACAAACAGGAAACATTGGGGGTGGGGGCAGGTTGAGACAAAGAATAGGCACTGGTTGAACGAGAAAATGGAATTCCCCTGTCTTGGTCTGGGTTTAGAGTGAGGGGGAGATGAATAAGGGTAACTTCTGTGCACCCACCAGGACATTATAGAGTTACATTTCCACAACACTGAAACTGTATTAACATTTTGGTTTGGAGGCAGCCATTTAATATCAAGGTTATACCATGCCCCAAAACTTTAGCCATATGTACCTCTACCTATTAATCAAATCTATTATCTATCCATCCACTGGTATCAATTCACCATCATCTCTCTATTGTTTATCAATCCCTCTGTTTAACTATCTACCTACCTATCTTTTCTCTGCAGTGTTTCCCTAATGTTAACAAACAGACTTCACACAAAGTCAAGGCCTCCCTGATCTGCATAAGAACTTGATTGTAGATGATTCAGATCCCTTTTCTTTGTTCCACCCACTCCTTCGCACCCCCTTTTACTTCTACATGTGTATTTATTAGACAGTAATGAGTATCTTCAAGGTGTTTTCCCCTTTTACTTCTACATGTGTATTTATTAGACAGTAATGAGTATCTTCAAGGTGTTTTCCCCTTTTACTTCTACATGTGTATTTATTAGACAGTAATGAGTATCTTCAAGGTGTTTTCCAGGGCCCTGAAAGAATGAGCTCAAGGCAATGGAGAAATTGAATTAGCCAAGAGTGCAGTAGTTTCCTTTCTTAGAGGGCTTCGCTTTTGTTGAATGCCCTGTATCTTTTTATTTATTTATTTTTTCATTAGAGCAGCCTCTAGTTGCTTCCTTGCTGAGCCCCAGGGTGAGAAATATCTTCAAATTCTAAGATCACCTAACCAGGGGCTTTTTGACCAGACTTCTCAGACAATGGCCACCCAAACTCATCTGCAGGAAACCACAAAGGGAGCTTCTTGACAACAGGCAGAGACCGGTGTGAAGAGTTTTAGAGGCCGGTTTCAGAAAGCCTGTGAACTGGACCGAAAAATCCTGCTGTCTGTCTCGGGAAAACTGCTTAGAGGTTCAAATAGGATGTTGGATGAAAAATGTGTGGAAAAAACACACAGAATGCCATACACTTATAAAACACCACCTTTGTTTATCAAAGGACATTGTTCCTAAGCATGCACATCTGTATGTATGCATGTATGAATCTATTATTTTCACTGGTCCTAACCAGCTAATGTTAACATACATTTAACATTATGTTAACATTTATTGTTTTTGTATTTGTCTTATTGGCCCAATCCTCAGGGGTTGGGCCACTCAGTGGGGCTCAGGGCTTACTCCTGGCTCTATGCTCAATGGTCACTTCTGGCATTGCTCAGGAAATTATAAGTGGCACTTGGGATCAAACTTGGGCTCTGGTGTGTGAAAGGTAAATGCCTTACCCACTTTCTCCAGCCCCTAACGTACATTTTTATAACACACTAGATATTTAGAGCACATTCAGATATTTGAAACTAGTTTAATCTGGTATTTTAATAAGCAACCAAAGAGGGCCGGAAAGACAGTATAGGAGGCGAGGTACTTTACTTGCACACAGCCCACCCCGGTTCAACCCCTGGTACCTCATAGGTCCCCCAATTCCTAGCAGAAGTGATCTTGAGTAAGCACTGGGTACAACCAGGTTGACCCATATTCACCCTTTCCCCAAATGAAGAAATGAAAGAATACTTGATGGATATGAAACAGTTCTATAAACTCGAGGACACTGAGTAGCGGAGAAGATCATTGACACAAGCAAACACTGCTCAGTTCTTTTGTCAGAAGGATCTGACAGACCCACTCTCAGTCATGACCACCTGGCTCAGACCTTTTGTTTTCTTGAAACAAACACATCTCAACAGACCCTGGAAAATTTCACAACATTCTCAAAGGTGTAGACATGACCTCGGAAGAGGAGAGAGGGCAGCACTTTGTCCTTAAGGTTGAAGCAGTGTGTGAGAATGAGATTGGTGGCTAGCTACTGAATTATAAGAGGCAGCAAAAGTCGGGTGCAGTGTGCACAGGATGATGTGAGCATTTGGATAAAGTTAGAGCAAAGAGAAACCAGAATGGATGCAGGGGAAGAGAGATGCCAGCAGCTGGTTTAATCAGCTGGATTTGCTCGGGTCATGACTACTATCTAAAATGTTTGCACATACATAGTCCAAACTTTGATGGGTTTCTGATGTCTGTTTTATCTCTACCCTGTGAAATTGAGTGTATTGGAGAAGCAAATGAGTCATGAGTATAATGGAACTAAATGGGTAGTTGCTTCCGTATTATTTTATACTCTGTACTTTTCAAAAAGAACTAGATGGAATCTTTTAGTTCTACAGAAACTTTAAGAATCTTCTATTAGATACCTGGGATTTTTCCACAGAAGCTGTGTGCTTATCACACATTGGGCTGATCTCCATTCCTCTCTCCCTCTCTTTATCACCCTGCTGGAAAAATTCCTCCATGATGCGATCTGTCCATTGTCTGTATAATTCCAAGGACTTGGTGGGGTTGCTCAGGTCTGCACAGTGTACCATGTTGCGAAGAACCTGAAATCATCAAGTTTTGGAAAGCTTGTAAAATTAGGTATAAATACCACCAGAAGAACATCTCATCCCTCTTGTACTAGTACACTTGGTACCAAACCTAAGAACATTTTAGTTGCATTATAATTATGGGTGCACCAATAAAGCAGTGTTACAATGGGGCTGGCAAGAATTAATTATTTACCATTAGAAAGTCCCAAAAAGGAAAATGTGTGTCTTCTTAGATTGACAGGCATTGAACTTAAAAACTGGAAAGGACATTAGAGGTCAGATGTTGCCATCATTTCCTTTCCTTAGTTTGGAAAAAATGCAAAAAATTACTCAAACTCGATGTCTTCATAGTTTCCACTTGTGGAAAGAGGAGACCAGCTGATGGCAATTTGTATAACCAAAACAGACCTAACAAACTTCAAGTCAATGGGATTAATATCCAAACATGAGCTTTGGGACCAGTCGTCACGTATGCCTTATTACAAAGAGATTTTGCCATGTATTTTTAGAACTCGGTTATTCAAAATAACGTTGTGTTTTGATTCATAAATCAGAGCACACATTTAAATGTCCCATTTTCTTAATTTGTTCTTAAAATAAGCCCCAAACTGTAGCAGGAGTCTGGGGCACACGACTACATTGATTTCAGCTTATTTTCTTTTTTTTTTAAATTTTTTTATTAAATTTTTTTAATAGTGAGACATCATGAGGTACAGTTGCAGACTTACACATTTTTGTGCTTGGGTTTCAATTACACAATGATCAAACACCCTTCCCTCCACCAGTGCGCATTTCCCACCACCATGGATCCCAGTATCCCTCCTGTCCCCCATCCCCCAATCCCTCCCTGCCTCTGTGGCAGGGCATTCCCTTTTGTTCTCTCTCTCCTTTTGGGTGTTGTGGTTTGCAAAAGAGACATTGAGTGGTATTCATGTTTGGTCTATAGTCTACTTTCAGCATGCTTCTCCCATCCTGGGAGAATCATCCCAACACCTTTATTTGGTGTTCTCCTCTTTATCTGAGCTCCCTTTTCCCCTAGCATGTGTGGTTGGCCTCCAGGTCATGGAGTAAAATTCCTGGTACTAATCTCAGCCATTCTTGGGTGTTAGTTTCCTATTTTGTTACTTTATGTTCCCCAGATGAGTGCAATCTTTCTATGTCTATCCCTTTCTTTCTGAGCCATTTCGCTTAATATGATACTTTCCATGTAGTACCACTTGTATGTAAATTTCATGACTTCGTCTTTTCTAACAGCTACATAGTACTCTATTGTGTAAATGTACCAAAGTTTCTTTAACCAGTCATCTGTTCTCGGGCACTCAGGTTTTTTCCAGATTCTGGCTATTGTAAAGAGTGCTGCAATAAACAGACAGTTGCAGATGTCACTTCGGCTATACTTTTTTGCCTCTCTGGGATATATTCCCAGGAGTGGTATTGCTGGGTCAAATGGGAGCTCAATTTCTAATTTTTTTGAGAAGATTTCAGCTTATTTTCACTTTGCAATTGCTATTGGATTTGGCTTTGCATGAAGTCCACAAGTACCTGTATGCGATCAGTATAGTTGTCCAGGAGAAGAACACCGGAACTTGTAACTTTTTTTGTTTCTACCATGGTCTTCAAGTCTGCCAGCAGGCTCATGTGTTTGGACATATCCGTTGCCAACACCTTGGGTAAAAAGAAAATGAGAATGTCACTGAACTCTGTTTATCAAACAGATTGGCATTTCTCTTCCTGCAAAGACATAATGGAGCTAGGAAGGCAGAGAAGCTAAAATCTTACCATGTCAATAACCATTTTCCTGAGTGTCTGACGTTGTTTCTTGGTGAGATTCTGAAAGATGTCACAGTGTTCTTCTTGCAGCAATTTGAAACCAACGGCAAGGTGATGGTTTTCCAACACAGATTCATCATTGTACATCAGTGCGAGTTCAGAGTCTAACAAAGCAGAAAAAAAGAATGACTTAATTGAAGGTACATAGTTCCAACGTTGGCACTTTGTCAAGATGAAATCAGATCTAGTGCTTTCAATATCACTTCAAGATTCAAGACTCACACGCCACTTCCCTCTAGAGAAACATTCTCCCGCTCCAAAGGGATGGAGTCAGTTTCCAAGCACAAACATGCTTCTAGAATATGACAGTGCATAAGCATTCTCTTTGATGGAAATGCAGAGTATTATAAAATCCATTTTTCCTTCTATGCTTCATATGGAGACACTGACACTAAGGCAGCTAATTGCTACTTGTGCCTCACTTTGTTAATTTCCTTTATGTCATCACACATTTTAGAAAAAGAACAAACCAAAAAAGTCACTACACTTTATCAAGAATGCTTTGATTTTTTTTTCAATCTCTAGTCATATCTTTTTGTGCCCTCCAACTCTGAAAATTGTGACGTAAGCTTTGGATATTTAAAGAAGATAATAGTGGGCTACCTTTATGTTCTCTAAATAATTTAGCTTGGGGGAGCTTTTTATAAATACTGCAAGAAAAAATATTAATTTTATTCTTTTTATTTATTTTTGCTTTTTTTTACCGGGGGGTCACACCTGGCGATGCACAGGGGTTACTCCTGGCTCTGCACTCAGGAATTACTCCTGGTGATGCTCAGGAGACCATATGGGATGCTGGGAATCGAACCCAGGTCAGTTGTGTGCAAGGCAAACATCCTCCCCACTGGGCTATTGCTCCAGCCCCGAAAAAATAATAATTGTAAAGAATAATCTTGATGTCAAGTTTTCTGCCATTTGTTCCTATACACAAGAATTGAAGAAGTTAGATCTGAAACTACAACTTCCAGTCTCCCATTCACACAGAAGAATCGCAGACATCTTTAATGAAACAGGACCAGGGTCTGCCACTGAGTACCAGGTCATTGAATTGTGACACCACATTTTCTCTCAATCAAGAAAACAGTCACATGATTGCAGCATGCTACTAATTATAGGTGTTGTCAGTCTCATGCTGTTGCTTTAACCAAGTGTTTTGCCTTAGGATCTCAGGGGAAGGTGGTGGGATTTCTGAAGTCATTTTAGAACTTACGCTCTGTTCATCTTGTGATCACAGACACAGATCTGCAGCTGGCTTTATATGTTGTAGGGATGTGGGTGGCTGGGGCAGAAAGATCATTTACTGGCCTATATCTGGACTGACTCATGACATCATATTATGTCAACTGATGATGCCAGCAGGCAAGTAATAGCCCAAATTTTATATTCTTTCAGTAGAACGTGACAAAAAAATCAAGGTACACCACATCTAGATCCATCAGCTCTTAGCTGTTTGTTTGTTTTATTTAGGTCATACCTGGCGTGCACAGGGGTTACTCCTGGCTCATGCTCTCAAGAATTACTCCTGGTAGTGCTCAGAGAACCATATGGGATGCTGGGAATCGAACCCGGGTTAGCAGCATGCAAGGCAAATGCCCTGCCTGCTTCGCTATCGCTCTAGCCCCCCATCAGCTCTTTTACTGACAAAAAGCAGCAAGGACTCCTTCACTGCCAGTAGTTAAAAAATTTCTATACTTGCTCTTAATCCTCACTACAAGGGGATCACCAACATTCTCAGAAAAAAAAATACATTAAATCAACAACTGCATGGATCATCATTAGTGTGGATACCAAACATTCTGAGCATGACAATAGCAGTGAGCACAGTTTGGGTTCTTAAAGCTTACTGAGGTCCAGTGACAGACAAATTCATCAATAAATGTATGTAACGGATGAGAGTGTATGGAACTTTCAATGACCCTTCCCTCCCTGAATTGTAGAAACATTCCAGAGCTGCTTTTTTGGGGGGAGTCTTATTTCTGTTTGGATGTTCCCATGTCACATCCATCATCTGAATCTCTTCCTTAGTAGAGAGGAACACTAGTGGTTCACTTGTTCTGTGGGAGTCACTGCATAATACAGAAACCCTTGATTACATTATCCCCACGCCTTTCCTTGTCCTTACCAGATGATTCCACACTGGTTACTCTTTTCTAACATATCTTATTTTCCAAATGCCACACATGTTTTTTTATGGCTCCTCTCTGACCCTTTCCAAGTTCTCCACGCAGCTTGGAAATTTGGTTGCTACAATGGACAAAGTGTCCAGGAAAGATCTGATCAGTCCGAGAGGAACAGAAAAATGACTTCATTATTACTCTTTTATTATCTATCATGAAAACATGAGGAGGGAAAAAGTGAAGCACGAGTCATACAATTATCTTGAATGATGTTTCAAGTGGCGGACTCACTTGTGTTGATGAGGAACTGATTAGAGACTCCGGGGTGATCTACGTCATGGATAGCAGCTGCAAAAATGGCGGCCAGGATTTCCAAATCTGTGAAGACAGCCTGCAGAGCAAAATGAGGGTTTTTTAACTCCATTTGCCTTTAACTGCATGTGCGTTCTACTAGTATTTTCAAGTACCCTATTTCATTCTTTGTTGAGAGAAGGATTATGAGTTGATTTACATAAAGCCTCAAAATATGAGTTTAGCTAAGTGTAGGTCCTGTCCATCATCAGAGGGTCTCAGATGAAGGGAATGATGGTCTGGTTCACACCAACTTTGCAGGCGGAGGCTTGGGAGGATGGTAGCATAATGCTTATGGTGAGTGATCAGAAGGTGCCTGGTGTTTGTTTATTGGCTAAGTGGTGTCACCGGATGGTACTTATATAACACAAGCACATACAAGTCACAGAAGCAAGTCCAACTGGCTTTTCCCTGAGATATAACTACCTTCCTGTGTTTTCAGGCTGGGTAACTTAGAGAACAAAAGAACAAATTCCGGATTCATAAGATGGACGGTAATTTTTTTTCCCCTAAAGCTAAATGTGTGGTGAGAAGCTCTTGTCCATTCATTCATTCATCCATTGACTTAATACCCATCCACTCAGCATTGACCTATGGCTAAGACTTGAGACCATTTCTCCATGAAACTCAGCCCCTTCATACTGTGAAGAGGCCTCCTCTGCTCCCACTGTACACACTGATTTAAATCTAATATTGATTTAGGTGTGTACTATTTTCTGGCTGACATGTTTTTCTCTGCTTGCAACATCTTTCCTCATCCTTGGTGATTACTTAAATCTTCTGAGCCTCAAATGCAAGCTCAGTTTCCACCACTCCAAGGAAGGCCAATATGGCTACTCAGGAGCATATTCACTTTCTTCCCTTCTCTAAAGATCTGTTGCACTTGTGGACAATTTCTGGTCCCACCATAGAGATCCTGTGCACATCAGAAGTTGGCTGTTAAACAGTGCCAGCCCACCCCGTGATGCTACTATGTGGAACATAATAATTTTTCTCTGTGAGTGTTAAATAGTCTTAAACTCATTTCACTTTTTCAAGTCTTTTCAAGTTTCTTTAGTTTTGTGGGGTGGGGGGGTGAGGGGAGAGAGAGGGACTGGGCAGCATCCAGCAGTGTTTTGGTGCCTACCTCCTCGCCACCCCCATCAGTCCTGTGCTCAGGGACTTGCTCTTGGAGGTGACTAGGGTACCATATGGCACTGGAGATCGAACCAGGCTTCTTTTGGAGATCAAAGCAATAGAGTTATGATCAGTTTCATCTTTTTTTACCTCCCAAACTACAATGGTGAGGTGGAGAGAACTTGTTCAATTCCTCCCTGGGGAGAGCCTGCATAGTTTACAAGTGCTCAGAGCCCACTGTAACCTCTCAAGGAAGAGCATCACCGGCTGGAGTCTCTGCTCCTTCTATTGGTCTCTACATAGACATTCCTCTGGGAACAAAGGAGCACTGTCATCATGCAGTGAGATGTCTTGCATGATGGAACTCTGTCCTTATGTCTTTAATATTGTTTATTCCTCACTTCTAGACTATGCAGTTCCCTTTTCTTCACTTCTTAGAATGAGTCTTATGAATTCATAGAAGAGTAGTTCTGAGGATGCTTTTTTCCTTACAGAAACTATATAGAACACTGAGTATTATCCATTTTGACTATTTCTCACAGTGCAGTGGATGGTATGGGCAATGTGGCTTGTTACACCCATAGTGAGGCTATATAGTATACCAGGTGCCATAATAGACACTTATTGGGTTCTAGAACTATGATATAAGAAGAAAGTTATTTTGTTAATTGCTTGATACACACGTTTCAATTGTATGAGCTAGAAAGACAAGACTACTCATAACTGATATTCTAAAGCAAAGTAGAAATGTGACTCACTTTTACTAACCACCCTGTCAATAGAATTAATTCAAGTATGTAAATCATCCAACAGTATTATTTCTATATAGCTAACAAACATCGAATGTCACACTTTCAAGGGGATGAGCAGGTGTGCACACGGGTCAGAACTACTCACATCTAATGCTGGCGTAGAAAGAAGAACATGGGTAGACTGGGCTACATCAGCAGCGTGAAGGCTGTTATGATATGCCACATCAGAATGGTAATGATCTTCTAAAGTCATCATGTAGGTTACGAATGTGTCAGATGAGATTTTGAATGTCTTTAGAAGGTCTCTTTCCTATGCATTAAAATGGATTAGAAAACAAATAAGCAGATGTTCCCAAATAAATAAAAATCAAATTAAAAAAAGTATACTAGGATGAAAAAGTAAACCATTGGCTTCTTGTTGGATAACCAATGCTGTTGACTGTTAACTCACCTGGAAGATAGCATACATGATGCAGGTTAAGGGCCTGTTGTGGGAGTATCCAGCCACATTGAAGATGTTCAGGCCCCATTTATTTAGGTCTTCCAGCTCCTGTAAGCAAAATGAGAGACATTTAAGACATGAATAAGGACAGGGGCTGGAGTGATAGCACAGCGGATAGGGCGTTTGCCTTGCACACAGCCGACCCAGGTTCAATTCCCAGCATCCCATATGGTCCCCCGAGCACTGTCAGGAGTAATTCCTGATTACAGAGCCAGGAGTAAACCCTGAGCATTGCTGGGTGTGACCCCCCAAAAAAAGAACAGACTTCTTATCCCACCTTGTTTTTTTTTTAAATTTTATATTATATTTTTATAATAGCAGTAGGGCGTTTGCCTTGTGCGCAGCCAGCCCGGCTGAGCCTGGTTCAATTCCTCCGCCCCTCTTGGAGAGCCCAGCAAGCTACCAAGAGTATCTCGCCCGCACAGCAAACACAGTAACAACAAGTCTCAAGATGGAAACATTACTGGGCCTGCTCAAGAAAATCGATGAACAACAGGAGGACAGTGACAGTGACAATAGCAGGTTAAGTCAAGTGTCTCTTTTACGGAGTTATAATAATATGAAAACCTACAAAGGTTGGCCGAGGAGGTCAAATGCCCTTCTCATGCAAGTTACAAGGTCTAGATGTTTTCTAAAAAGGGAAAGTGTGTGCCTAAAAATGGAGTCCCTGACCTATATTTACTATTCATCATCCTAAACCCAAGTTGCATTCAGAGATAGATGCGAATGATTAGCAATCACGCTGCCCCATTTCCCTGTCTCTCCCTCTTGTTGCTCCCTGACTCATTAGTAACAATCTGAAAAACAATCTCAGAAAAACTCCTCTGCCTCTTGATTAGTATCAGTAAGATACTAACCCAGGTCCGGGAGACTCTGCCATGACAATGTGCATAACCCAACTCTAATTTTGTTTGTTTGTTTTGGGTTTGGGGACATAAGGAAGTTCTCAGGAGCTACTCTCTGCCTGTGGCTTGGGAGTTGCTCCCTGTGGTGTTCTGGAAACCGTGTGGTGTTAGATTTGAATTGAGTCAAGTAAGTGCCTTTACAAAGAGATTACAAAGCAAGTAAACTCTCAGCCCTAAACTCAGGTTAAATGTAAAACATCCTAAGGAATGTCAGTCACAAATTCTACACTAAAGCTTCTGGTTCATAGACAGGTCTGGAATAAACATCATTTAGTTCCATGTTATAGGATTATTTGAAAATAATCTGATTAAAGCTACAATTTATTTTTCATTATTTCCCAAATGAAGGATAATCATTCTCCCCCCTGAGGGCTGGCACAAAGTGGAATTACTCTTCTGCTAAAGACGTCTTTCGAAAATCTCCCTGAACATTCCTCTATAAGGGCAGGTCACCTTCTGCTAAGTCCAACCTTCTAGAGGAAGTACAATTCTTTCTAGGCCTTCTTTCCCTACTTGGGTTTGGGGTCAAGTCAGTGCTACCAATTTCTCCTTTCTTCTCCAGCTCTGCCAATGATGGGCTTTCCCATCATTTCTTGGCACATAGTCCTCTAAGATAATTCAGTTCTGTATCCTGCCTTTTCCTTGGGTTCTCCCACTGTACTTAGAGCAGGATTCTCCATTCAAATGTGAATGAACCCTAAACTAAAAGATTATCTGTGATATAAAGGAAGGGTCTTTCAACAGTTGCCTACTCATAGACAAAAAGGCCATACCCAGCCTTACTGAAAAATTTAAGAAGAAATTAGTAGCAGTTGCTACTGTATTCTAGTAAGTAGTTTGGACCATTCACCTGCTCTGAAGAGATGTGCTGCATGCACATTCCCTGCTTTTTACCCCCAACTCACACACACCTTGGCCAAATGATCTTCATTTTCTGTGTTGACTCCGAAGCGTGAGATGCTTGTATTGTTTAAGCTTGAGCTATGCATCAGTTTTTTCACTCCACTTATTTGTGTCATAAGTTGTTGTTTTTTCTTTTTCTCCCGGTCTTTCTGGGTGGGAGATGGAATCTCTACATCATTCTGCTTGTCTGTAACAGAGGGAGATATTTTTAAGTTCATATGTGCAGGATCCAAAGCACCATGCCTTATCTCCTTGCCCTCCAGGGTGTTCCTGGAAGGTAGATAGGGGTGGAAGGTTATGTTATCTTTTGTGATCCATTTTATTGCTCAGTAAACTGAGGGATTGAGGAGATGGTAAGCTTGTCCAGGAAGTGGCAGAGTCCAAGATCAAATCCTAAATTGTGTGTTTGCAGAATAATTTAAAAAACCCACATTCACAAAATCCCAAGGAAGGGCATCAATACTTATATGTAGATTTTTTCCCCTTAAACTGAGTAACTTTTATATCTATAATGATTTATGCAGCAAAATCCAGATTAACAAAAAACAGATTTATATTTTAATCAGTTTAATTTGGTTTTACTTTTAACTTAAAAATGCATATAACTTCACGGGACTGGAGTGATAGTACAGCAGGTAGGGCATTTGCCTTGCACGCGGCCAACCCGGGTTCGATTCCCAGAATCCCATATGGCCCCCCAAGCACTGCCAGGAGTAATTCCTGATTGCATGAGCCAGAAGTAACCCCTGTGCATCGCTGGGTGTGACCTTTAAAAAAAAAGCAAAAATAATGCATATAACTTCAGCTGGGATTCAGCTTAGATGAGAAGTGTGTATATTAGAGAAATAATGGCTTACAATCTTCAAATAATTGCTTTCAAGTCTTGACTTATAAATGTTTGAGCCTTAGAGGAAGGCTAAATTTCAGTTTTACTTCATACCTTATTCTATTAGTTTCACTAATGAATAATAAAGGTAATTATTATTTTAACAGGCATTACATTAAAATATCTGAGCTTATGAAATATTAAGAATCATCTTATTTAAAAATTCTTTTAAAAATTCTGCTAAAAAAAGTATTAGCCGATCTAGGAGAAGTGAGAAAAATGTATAAACCTGTTTGCAGATGCCCTTTCTTTTAGCTGATGCTAGTAAAGCTACCAGCACTCAAATAGCCAATCTCCCTTCTCAGGAGGATGTCTCCTGAATACCTCAGAAAAATGCATTAACTCTTTCAGGCAACAGACATGCTTGAGATCGTTTTTATTAAAAGGGTCCACTGAGCTAAATGGCGCTCCGTGGGCTGAAGAGTTAATGCAGCTTTCAGAAATTCCTCCATTTATCTCTGCTAATTCCAATGAGAATCAATGGAGAGGCGGCTTCTCCCTTTGACAATGTCAGGTTTCTGCATTTCACAGCATGACATCTCGGCATCATCTTGGCTACTTGCCTCCCACTTGACCAGATAAGAAGAGTCACATGTTCTCCCCAAGAGCCCTCTGCCTGCTTCCCAGGGTCTGTGGCCAACTCAGGAGCAAAGGCATCACAGGGAGACAGAAGCAGCTTGATGTTTCTCCACCCCCGCCATCCCTCTCCCCTCCCCCCCCCCACTCCCGCATCCTCTGCACACCTGGCTGTAAGGTAAGAGTCCGGGCTCTTCATTCCAAGAACCCCAGTCTCATGTTCAGTGCCCACAAACCCTTGAAACTCAGGAGGGATTGAGGGGTTTCCAGTCTGAGTTTACAGCACAAACACCCAGGAAACTTTTGAAAAATATGTATTTATGAGCCCCACCCAGGCTTTTAAAAAAAAGACTTCTCAAGTAACTGAGCATCAGAATGAGGGTAGGGAACCAAAAACATCCCACACTCTCCCTTTCCAAATGAAGTCAGCAACTTGCCCAAGCTCAAAGGGCAATTTATTCAACAGATATTTATTTTGCAATTACTTTGCTCCAGACAGGGTGATTTCATAGCATGGAAGCCAGGCTTTAAGGTTTCTATTTAAACAAAAAAATCTGCTTCCTGTCTCACTATCTCTGATGGACAAGGTAAGAATTATATTATTTTTTGCAATCACTTTTCTCCTTGTCACTTCACTCCTAATCATGACTACTTTGTGCTGAAAGGAAAGACCACGATACTCTTTGGCTTTCCCAAGAGCCGTTCTTCATGTCTGGTTAAAGATTCTCCCTCCACTGCAGATATAAAACCTCCAGTGGGACTAGCAACCCTTTTTCTTTGTTTAATTAAAGATTCCCTGTAAAGGCGTGTAATTGAGCCGAACCACTATAGGGTCTGGAACATTACAATAAAGAAGAAAGCCATTATTCACTGAAAGCCAATTTGGCATTAATGGGTGTCTCCCTCTGCAGGCATCAGAACAGCCCACTAGGTTTCCTATTCTGAATTTCCTCTCTTAAGTGCTTAGCCAGCGCAATGCAGAAAAAAAACTGGAAACTCGAAGAATCACAATAAACCCTGGGAAAATTTTCATCTACCCTCTAATTGAAATTACCATCTACAAAACGGCCAAAATGCAGAGGAAAAACAGAAAACCAGTATAAAAAAAATCGAGACAAAGAAACAGAAACATCTTTTCAATGTGCACAAAAATAAATCCCAAAGTTCTCTTCCTTGGGTCTTGAGGCACATATTGTATCCTCTACCTTAGACGATGGTAAATGGGTCCAAAAGGAATTTTTTGGCTTAAAAAATCATAGCTATTTATCTTTTTATCTTGGTATCTCTTGTGATATATATATATATATATATATATATATATATATATATAAAGAAGAAGGGATACAAGATAATAATAAGCTTCTGGACGATCCAAGCACAGTCTTGCTTTAGCTGTGCTCTCACTCTCTGTATATCAGGCATGCCTAAAGCCCATTACTATACAGCCCATCCAGTAATGCCTGTCCTGATGAAAAGAGATCCTTTTCTCTCTCACTGGTCCATCTGGGTACCATTCCATGAGAGAGAAAACCCACCAGTTTCACAGATTACTGAAGTCAGGGACTCCTCTTGCCTGAATGATGCATTTTCATATCCAATGACTCTAATTGAGCTATTGTTCTTTAGGCTTAACTTAATCACAATGTTCCTCTCATTTTTTGCTGAGATGGTAACTGTCCTCTACAAGAATCTTTTATTTGGAATTGCTAATAAACATTTTCTTTTTAGGTTCAACAATTCTGATTCCTGAAAATAAAAAAAGCCCTTTCTATCAAAGAAAACACCTATTCCTAAAGTGACATTAAATGTAATTTTTCTTTTCTATGTTGTGAGTTTCTCACGGCAATCTTTCCTAGTTTACAGAGCGTGGAGGAGAATAGGGCTAAGATTCAGACCATACAATCCATCTGGCTCTGGAACTAAGTTGTGACCTTGGTTAAGTTACTTCACTGTTCTGGGCCACCATCTTCTTTCCTGTGAAATGAAGGGATTGATCTGAGGCCTTGAAGGTCTTTGGCAGATCTCCAATGTGTGAAAACAAGCAAACAAACAAACAAAAAAAAAAACTTTTAGTGAACTCTAAGAACACTCAGCAACCTCACAAGACAGGACTTAGAATTCCATGTCTTCAGGATGCAGTTTAGAAATAACCTCCGCTTGTCTGTTCACTTGTTTTTGAAGACTGTTAGAACACGAGTTTGCGGTGAATTCTGGGCATCCTGGTTGGTCTCAGGCAAATCATGAAACTTTTCATTAGCTGTGTGTAAGAACTGGAAGGGGTAGCTTCTATTCCAGAGCCTACATTCTACAGATGAGGCAACTGATGGATTTATTGTTTACATGATGGCTTTTTTCTATTCTTATATTTGTCTAAGGATACATAAAATGTTAAATTGGTTGGTCTCTAAATTAGGTGTATTTCTTATAAACATACACACCCTCACCTTTTGAATGCACAGTGTGTAAGAATTGAATTTCTCAGAAGCTTGGTCAACAACACATTCCTGATCCTGACAATTTGGGGAATTAGGAGAAGCCAGATGATTGGTTTTCTTTAAGAAATGAGTTTAAATAGCAAATGGAATACTCAAGACGTTGCTAACATTTGCTTGTTCTTGTCATCTCATGTTGAGAGTGAGAGCTTGTCTTTATGATCTTATCAGCTCTCCTGCTTGATAGTTTTGATGATTAAAAAAAAGTAATTAGTATCGTAAACTGTTCTTGTCTTTGGCAAGGAGACTGTGAGAGAGACGACAAAGAAAAAAGACTGCTTAGCTACAGTCTGGGATGTGATGGGCTAGGACTTCTTAGTTTTACCTTAGAACTAAAAATTTCTCTTATGATGAGTGACACATTGTGGCATTTTAAAATGCAATGTTTCCAAAAATTAAAATGAGTTTTCACCTTTATTAATTATCTTTTCCTCTGAGGCCTTTGTTAACTCCTAACGAGCCTTCATCTTTCCCTAGTCTAAGAGCGTGTCGCATTGAAGTGATACATACTATTTGAAGTGAACAGATACCTGTCTTTGAAGGAGTAAAGAGGGAATAGTGGTGAAGAAAAGGAATAAAGTAAAAAAAAATATTAATTTTTGTATGTTGCGGGAGGGGCACACCTGTCTTTAATGCTTTTGGTTCAGTTAGATTCTACCTGCCACTTGGAACTAGTTTGTATGAAAAAAAAAATCTCTTTGTTCTCTGACAAAGGTTGTCCCCCTCGCTGTTGGAGAAAGTCAGGTGCTACAGACACCCACAGGCTGCAAACAGCAGCAAAGCACTTGTTCAGTGTGCTTTTGCCCATTGGCTGTGAGAAAACCCTGATCTTTGTTTGCAGTAGGTCAGGATCGATCTGCTCATATCAGGAACTGCTTTGATAACAGAGAAATAAGATTGATCTTTTCCCCTAAAACCAGAAGAGCTATTTGTGCTTCTGTGGGCTATCAAACGCTCATTGATTTAATGATATGTAGCTAAGCCAAAAGAAGGGAGGTGTAAGGTGCTTCTGTAAGAACAGGTCATTTTTCCCTGGAAAGTGGAGTTCCCTAAACAAGCATCATTCAGCTGGCATTGAACGGCAGCCAAATCACAGTCTAAATGCTGCCTATTTACTTTGAAGTAGATCTGTAGACTCTGCAGACTTTATTAAAGAAAGATATAGTCCAAATGGGTTCATTATGTAACAGAATGGCTTTCCACTGGAGACAGGAAGCCCGAGGAATCAAACAGGATGCATGGCAAGTGTTGAGAAGCAGGAGTTAAACCTCTTTAGTCACCATATCCTGTGCCAAATATTAGCAGTGGTGACCATGGAGCACATCAAAGGAAGCACCAGATTGGTAAGATAATGATGCTCCTTGTAGAAGGCCAAATCCGTCTGAGAATATGATATTTTCCACCCCACCTCCCCTATTTATCTTTTCGAAATAATTTAACAAAGCAATTTTCAAATTGTTTTTCAAACTTATTCTTATGGCTCAAAAGACCCTACAATTACTCTCAAACCATACTGCTCACAAATCACCTAAGAAAGAATCTTTGGCTCAAACCCCAGTTACTAGAAGCATTTAAAGAGAACCAGGTGACAGGATCAGACGCTATTGAATTTAGTCTTGGGTAACTGAATATCTACCCTTCCAGAGGTCTTAATAAAGATGGAAGCAGGTAAGTAGCTAAGAACTATTTCAAGTCCTTAGAAATAAAATTAACCCACAATAAACTCTTGGAGAATGAGTATTTTCATCACCACCCTCTTTTTTTCTGTTCCAACATATGGCTTATTTTTCCTTTCTTGGATGACCTTAGTTTTGATTAATTTCTTCTTGATGTGACTTAACCCCATTCTAAGCCCACATAGGGTCATCATCCTGCTAGAAAATTAATCCTTCAAAAAATTTCAGCTATGGAGCAGATTCCCCATTTAATCTCTTACCTAAGAAAGTGTTGGATATATATTCAGACACTTGGTTGCCTGATCGGCTCATTTCTGAGAGGTGGGTCAGCTCCCGATTCAGCATTCTTTTAAACTGTTTAAAAAGAGAAAAAAATGCATTAGCCACCCGAAGGAACTGTGAATGATCACTTTAGATGCTTCCGACTTTACTAAGAACCAAGAGACTTAAGAACCAAGAGTCTGAACCAAGCACACTTCACTCAATGATATATTTTTCTACAGAATACAACTCCCCTTTATGAGAAATTATTTGAACATCACCTAGGAGGTAGAGGGGGGTGCTGAAGATTTCTCAGAATGAAATCCCCTGATTTCTTTAGAAAATGCCAACACAGGAACAGGAATTTGAATGGTGGTCAAGGTAACTTTACTTGAAAATGTAACTCTGTTCTAAAATATTTACTGGAAATTAAAATATAATTTGCATGAGAAACTTGTAGGTGAAAGGAGGTGATGAAAGTTTAAGGGAGAACGAAGAAAGGAGAAAAAGAAGATTCTTTACACACGCACAGAAGAAAAAGAGAATTGTTTGACATGAAAAGAATCAGATTAAAGACCCAGGACTGATGGTTAAAGAAAATGCCATTCCAATGGGTCCCTCTTTCACAATCAGCAGCCTCAGTGGGCTCAGATGACAAACGCAATCATGACAGTTCACGAGAAGCACACAGGACTCAAGAATGCACATTCTATCACACACATCACAGACTCAAAACGGACCCACCTTGATGTAACCCCAAGACACAGAGAGCAAATAGTTTGCCTCGGGCATTTTGGAATGGTTTCCTTGCCACTGTCCACAAAATCCTTTGGCAAAACGCACAGTCTTCCAGGAGCGATCCCTCAAAGACCAGAAAGGCTTCGAGATGAAAAGCGTCCAAACTTATCAAAGAAACTTAGGGCATTGCCTCATCCACACAAAGCCCATTTCCGCACTCCATGCCTGGAAGAAGCCTGTCTCCCCACTTCCTCGCTGCCAGAGGGAGACACAGAAAGAAGGGGGGAACTGCGTAAAGGCACTAGATCCCGTCCAAATGGATGCAGCTGGCCGGCTCTGCAGCGCTTATGAATTATGAATTGTCCTGGTGGCCGAAGGGGTTTCCACTCTAGCTTAGCTCTGCACAGCCGAGCTCTGCAACGAAAGAGCAATTCTTCTCTCTTGAGGGGATGCCAGACAGGGAAACACAGCCATCTTTTTTTAAAGGAGGAGATTAAAATGGAGGAAGCCCCATGAATATTTAAGTAAATCCGAAGGCAGTACCCTCCCCCATTTGCACGAGGTGTGCCTTAACCCTCTCTCCACTGTAGAGCCTGGTGCTGGCAGAGGGAGGCAGCTCCACACTGACGGCAGCGGAGGGCTGGGCTGTTGGCTTCATGTACTTTCTGTATATGACACAATCTGTAAGAGCTGTGGTTGTGTTCACACGGGGCTTTCTGTAGGCGAGTTTTTTTTTTTTTAAGTAGCTTTCAGGAGGAATTTTTCCTTCCCCCTGTGCACACCAGCAGTAAGAAAATAATCCAGCCTCCTTCCACAAAGATGAGGAGAATGAGAAGACAATGAATAGCTTTCTTTGGGAAAGTAGTCCATTTGCAGAATGCGATTTTATGCACTCTGTTCACTTATTAGCATGCATGTTCGATTGTGTTTGACAAAGGGATGAAACACATCTAGCCTTTTCGATCAGGATCTAGAGCGTGCTAGGAAACACAAGCCGTCGTTTGCTGCAGGAGTGGTCAATGATTTAGGAATACGAATGACTGTGCTGTTTTTTGGTATCGTTAATCTGCTAACTCAGGTTAGAAACATTTGGGACTTGAATGCATTTTCATTTTATCTTAGCAGTCTAGGTGTTGAAAAAGCCATTTCTTTCCTGTGGGCTAGCTGTCAGCTTAGATACAAGCAAAGGGAAAATCTGTGTGTGTGTGTGTGTGTGTGTGTGTGTGTGCGCGTGTGTGTGTGTGTGTGCATGTGCAAGAGAGAGAGAAAGAGAGAGAGAGAGAGAGAGAGAGAGAAAGAGAGAGAGAGAGCTCAGAAGCTTAAAGTCATTTCTACTGCAGTGGGATTCCCTACCCAGGCCCACTCCGTTCCCCTCTTTCACCCTTTTCTCAGTCACCCCACTACTGGACTTGGAGGAGTTCAAGCACCGCAGTTAGAGCAATAGCAAAGCACCATGGCAACAGCCCCTCTTCCCTGCCCCCCCTCACAAGCCATTGGCTCTCTTTCCTGCATGGCATTCCCCTTTCAAATGAGCATCCTGCGGGACAATAACTCCCCTTCAAGCATCATCCCAGCCCCTGTTCTGCCACTGCCAGTGCCCAGGAAATCCAACCTTTTAAGGTGAAGTCAGACTATTGCCTGCTGGTTCTCGGCACTGTGCATTGTCCTCAGAGAGGCTCAGCCAACCCCCTCTTTCAGAGCAGCCCTGTGGCATAAGTGTGTGTTTCCCCATAATACAATAAGTCTCAGCAACCAGGAATCCCTGAATCTCTCTTCTAGTGGGCTTTACATACTGAATCTCTAAGCAATTCTGAATGCCTGGTAATTTGCCTAAGTGATTTACTTTAAAAAAAAAAAACAGAAAAGAAAAGAAAGAGATAACCACTCAGCCCTACTGGCTTCCTCATCTCAGTTCTCAAAGGACTTAGGAGTTAGAAAAGACTGGTTTTTTTCTATCAGCTGATCTCTGGCTCAGCTGAATTTTGACAAAGAAGCCAAGAACTCTGCTTCTTTTGACAAAGAAACCAGCCCTTGTGAAAACGATTATGAAAACCATATAGGAATGTGATTCCTTTCCATCTAGAATGAACCAAATGGCATAGGCAAACAAGCATCCTCACGTGGTTGCCTTCGTGTCACTTTGCAATGTTTAAGAATTTTGTGGACTCTGGTTTATGAGCTCTAGGTTTGTACTCGCTCGTGATATCATTTTATCATGTATTTCATATATTTGGATTGAACACATAACAGTATGCCAGACAAAACTTTAAGAATACAAAAATGAGGGAAGAAACCCTTTCATTAGACCGGTAGCCACCACTTTCGACTCAACTTTTGCCCCAGTAGAAGTAGTCAGAAATTAAGAGACATTGGTGAACCACCACAATTAATAGAGGTCTCTGACCCAGATTGGTGCTGCAGCTCAGAATAACGGGGCAGGGAGAAACTCAATCCTATATGACTAGTAAACCTCGTTGTCCCTACTCTCGAGTCACCCCTCCCATTGCCACAGGATCTAGCTGGGATGCACTGTCAGTCCCAAGGTAGGGGACAAGATAGTGGCTCTCGGACTGAAGACCAGCTAATCTTCCTGCTTCCTGAGCTTGCCTGATAGTCAAGGTCTTTGTGCTCATAGTAGTAGCTCCAGACGAATCCCACCTTCCTCCTCTTCATGCCTAATTTTGTTTTCTTCTGAGACTTCAGCTAAACGCTTGCTTGGCAATGACACCGAAAAACAAAGTCATCCTTAGGTCGCCATCAAACACACAACATGATGAAGTACGCAAATGGAGGTCACTTGGTGTCAGAAACAGACCCAGTCCTTCCCAGGTTGCTTAGCAACCCCCGTTGGTTTTCCTCCTCTATGAGGGAGGGCCCAACCACACTGACGGAGGCAATCATTGCTCTCATCAAAAGGCATTTATGAAGGACCCACTTATGTGGGGCTCTGAACAAACTCAGAAGGGCAGACACGGTGTTTGGGGAGCAGCTGGGGAACTTTTACATTCTTGTAACACAGTGGAGTCCCAATTAGTAGGATTAGTGCTGGCCTTTGTGAGGAGAAGCAAAACACATGGGATTCCTGTGAACTGTGTCTGAGGGGAAGGCAGAGGAGATAATTGGAGGGCTCAGCTGTGTTGAGGTGTCAGTATCTCTGAGAGGACAGCCAGAGGTAATCATCCCGTAGCAAGAGAATCTTGGTTTTCTTTTCCAGTTCTTACTGACAATCTGGTGAAATTCCTGTCTCCTCTCCTATAGGAAAGAGCTTTTTAGGCTCGGTTTTACGATGGAACCTTCCATAATCCCATGAGATGCTTGGTGACTGCCTCCTACATTCTGAAAACGTGATTTGCCAGCCCCAGATATTTCCCAGAAAAAAAACCCTTTCAACCAGACTAAGGAAAAATAGTCCCAATTGGAAACGTTTGGGTCCCAATGCAAGAAGAGACACCTTTACCATCTTCCTAGAATCTTATGTTCTAAAACACCCTCAGGACCCTCCTTTACTGCTGGTGGGAATGCCGACTGGTTCATCCCTATTGGAAAACAGTATGGACGATTCTCCAAAAATTAGAAATTGAACTCCCATTTGACCCAGCAATACCACTCCTGGGAATATATCCCAGAGAGGCAAAAAAGTATAGTCGAAGTGACATCTTCACTTGATTATTCATTGCAGTACTGTTTACAATAGCCAGAATCTGGAAAAAACCTGAGTGCCCGAGAACAGATGACTGGTTAAAGAAACTTTGGTACATCTACACAATGGAGTACTATGTAGCTGTTAGAAAAGATGAAGTCATGAAATTTACATACAAGTGGTACTACATGGAAAGCATCATGCTAAGCGAAATGAGTCAGAAAGAAAGGGATAGACATAGAAAGATTGCATTCATCTGGGGAACATAAAGTAACAAAATAGGAGACTAACACCCAAGAATAGCTGAGATTAGTACCAGGAGGTTTACTCCATGGCTTGGAGGCCAGCCACACATGCTAGGGGAAAAGGCAGCTCAGATAGAGAAGGGAGCACCAAATAAAGGGTGTTGGGATGATTCTCCCAGGATGGGAGAAGCATGCTGAAAGTATACTATAGACCAAATATGATTGCCATTCAATGTCTCTTTTGCAAACCACAACACCCAAAAGGAGAGAGAGAATGAAAGGGAATGCCCTGCCACAGAGGCAGAATGGGATGGGGGGAAGGGGGGTGGGAGTGATACTGGGATCAGAGGTGGTTGAAAATGGGCACTGGTGGAGGGATGGGTATTTGATCATTGTATAATTAAAACCCAAGCACAAAAATTTGTAATTCTACAACTGTACCTCATGGTGTTTCACTAATAAAAATTAAA